TCCCTTGATCCAAACGGGATTTTTCAGAAGTGTACTCGCACGAATACCTCGCGATGCTAGATCAGCAGGATTTTGTTTACTTTCGATATAATTCCACTGATGAAAATCTGTCTCTTCCTGGATCTGTTGTACACGATTTGCTACGAAGATATGAAATCTTCTTGACTCGTTGGCTATGTAACCTAGAACGACTCTACTGTCCGTCCAAAACACCTCTTCAATTTCTTCGTAATTTAATTCTCTTTTCAACTGGGCGCTGATCTTTACTGAAACAAGTGCGGCAGTCAGTTCGAGTCTCGGGATTGTAATAGGTTTGAGAGGCGTAACTCTTGCTTTAGCCATCACGAGCGAGCAATAAATATTGCTATTGTGATCTTTCAGTCTTAAATAGGTGCACTGACCATAACCCTTTGTACTGGCATCAGAGAACGAATGTAGCTGAACTTGCATAACACGACCAAAATTCTCAGGTTTCAAACATCGTTTAACGGAAAATTTCTTCAGAAGGGATAGATCTGATCGCCAACGCTCCCAACGCAACTTGATCATTTCTGGAATCGGTTCATCCCACCCTATCATTTCTTTGCAAAGTTCTTGCAGAATCTGCTTGCCTTCCAACAGGACTGGAGCAAGAAAACCCAAAGGATCGTACACAGAACTCACTGCTGATAGAACACCACGTCTTGTACATGGTCGACTTCTCATCATAATATTGAACTGGAACTCGTCTCGTTCGGTGCACCACTGAATGCCAAGGGCCCGTTCTATTGGCATTTCCTCGTTAATGAGATCCAGGTTTCTGATCTTCTCTGCTCGATCTTTCTTGGGAATGGCTTCGATTACTTGCTTCTTGTTGGATGTAAATTTTTGTAGATTAAATCCTCCTCTTCTACACATCTCCTTTGTTTCTTTCATCAAAGATATTGCTTCTGACGTAGTGGCCAAAGATTTCAAACCGTCGTCTACGTAGAAATCTTTCCGCAGGAATTCAGCGGCATCAGAACCAACACTCGTCTCGTTATCATCAGCAGTGCTTTTCAGGGCATAGTTACAACAGCCAGGCGATGATGTTGCGCCGAATAAGTGGACTGCCATTCTGTATTCGTCAGGTTCTCTCGATATATTACCATCATTCCACCATAAAAAGCGTAAATAATCTCTACAGTCAGGAGTCACCTTCACCTGATGGAACATGGCTTCGATGTCACACATTACGCCCACTGGTTCTTGACGAAATCGACAAAGGATGCCAAATAGACTATTGGTCAAGTCCGGTCCTTGCAATAAGTGTTTGTTAAGGGAATCACCATTATATTCGGCCGAACAATCAAAAACTACTCTAATCTTGTTTGGTTTCATTGGATTATACACTCCATGATGAGGGATGTACCAAACATGCTCTCCGCCCTGGTCAACACTGAACTTCTTATGTTTGCGATGTTACTCTGAGTGCATATCCACACCGGGCGAGCTTGAAAAATATGCCCGGCCACGGTGGGATTCGAACCTACGACCTTTGGAATACTAGCCCAATGCTCTTCCAACTGAGCTACGCGGTCAGGACGGTTCGAGTAAGGGATATTTCGGAACAGAATCTAGTTCCTTCGATACCAATGTATTCTAGTAATATGAATTTTTTTCTGTGTTGGTGTAGTGTACTCAGGTGAATATGATATTTGTGGTGTTACTCTGAGTGTATATCCACACCGGGCGAGCTTGAAAAATATGCCCGGCCACGGTGGGATTCGAACCTACGACCTTTGGAATACTAGCCCAATGCTCTTTATCTCTCTATATTACTAGAATACATTGGTATCGAAGGAACTAGATTCTGTTCCGAAATATCACTTACTCGAACCCTCCTGACCGCGTAGCTCAGTTGGAAGAGCATTGGGCTAGTTACTAGTATTCCAAAGGTCGTAGGTTCGAATCCCACCGTGACCGGGCATATTTTTCAAGCTCGCCCGGTGTGGATATACACTCAGAGTAACACCACAAATATCATATTCACCTGAGTACACTACACCAACACATAAAAAAATTCATTAATATTGTTTAAATAAAAGTCCATCCTAATTAGTATTCTTTATATAAACAATACTGAGACGGCATGCGCATTTATTGTAGTCGTGTTTGAAGCTATTCAGAACGCTTGTACTTGTTGTAGTCGTGTAAGTGTTTTATCATATCTAAAATGCTTGTCCTGTGCACATATATTCATTTGTGTCTAATATAGGTATTTTACTGCAGATATTTCAATATATACTAAACCAATGAAAATAAATCATGTATCTTTTACTAGTAATAAAAGAATGTTGTTGTTGTGCTCTGATTGGTCAGTGTCTCTACGTACCCTAGTACCTAGGCCTTTCCCCATAGGCCTGGGAGACGGGAGGGGGGGGGGGGAGCCGCAGCCCCTTCACTTTTACTTTTAAACAACTTGAAGCCGGGAATGCTGGTAGTCATTAGTTAAACTCTTAATCCTGTAAATAGTATCTTCTTATAGTCTACTTCTTAAATATTTCTATATGTTATCAAATTGTTACGTTATAGTTAAGCTTTAGCAATACCTGTAAAATATGGTCATGCTAATCAGTAAAGCGATTATCAACTAATATTAATTTTAATGATCGGGCAGATTCTACTTAAAAATCGGGCAATTTGCTAGGCCTGCCTCGGTAGAATGTATTGTGTCATGATGTTTGTGATGTTACACTGAGTGTGTATCCACACCGGGCAAGCTGAAACGTTCATTGGCGTACGGGACGGGGGGGACAGGGGGCAGCTGCCCCCCCCAAAAGATTACAAAGTCGAAAAGTCGGGCAAATGTTCAACAAAAGTCGGGCAAAAGTCGGGGAAAAAGTAGTCAAAGCAATAAAATCTCTCGTAATAATAACCCCAGTTTATTGGGCAAACCAAGCCAGTTGAGCAATATTCGCTTCACAGTCGGGCAATATTGGGCTATTATAAAAATAAATGGGACAAATTCTGCCAATTTTGAGGGAAGTTATGTAAATTTTGTGATGTTTGGGAAAATTTGTTTGATGTTCCGAAAAATTTTGGTATGTCAAAAAAAATTTTGGACCCCTAAAATGGTACACTGACCGAAATTTTTTGGCGACGGGGGGGCGAGAGGTCTCCAAAATTTATTTTTCCGGAAAAAATTTTTTCGGGCACTGGTTGGGCAAAATTCGAAAAAGTCGGGCAAGTTTCTTTTTGCCCCTCTAATTTTTTCCTTCCCGTACGCCTATGGAAACTTTTGCCTGACCACGGTGGGAATCGAACCCGCGCGACCTTTGCGATACAGAAAAAATTGTTAGAAAACAAATAAAACATAAGAAAATACTTTTGCATATTTTGGGAGCACTGTATAGTTTTACACATAGAGACATGCCAACACACACAAAAAGTATTGTGTCACGATGTTAACGTCGAGATACTACATTATTATTAATGTTACTATTTAGTCAGAGAATTGTGAATGACAGATTGAATTTTTTTCATTAAATGTAAATTGTATGCAATAGAGTGAGAATATTTCGACGTTCATAAAGAATGAAATTCCAGAAAGACTCGGAAATAGTGAGATATAATATGAAAGTATACTATAAGCACCAAGATTAATATCAAAATGATCAAATAATTGATTAGGTTAATAAACTGATACTGAATGTATGGTCGACAAGGTTTGGAAGAAGGTTTGAAACTTTTTCGCAACTGCTCCTGGTTAGGTCTACTAAATGTATAATAATTCCACTCGAAAATTACATTTGCAAATCCTTTGAAAAATTTGTGTATTGACTATAGATTTGTAAAATTTGAAATTTTGTATTTACAGTATTGACTATAGATTTGTTGATAGACTTTACTGTTTATTGAGATTTTTAGCCGACATCTCCCTTGATAGAACTAACAGATTAAGAGTTTTTGTAGGAAAATTCGACTGGAAGATTATCATTCTTCAATTTTAGACCAACGTAACACAGCTGTTCCTGCATGGTTAGATCTTAAACCGACTTTCCACTGACATTTTCGCCCGCCGTCGACGAAATTTCGCGAACGATTTTCGGAAATTCTTTTATAATCGCTACATTTTTCAGAGCATGATTGGCGTTAACTTTAAAATAATAATCCGACTCTCTTTAAAATAATAAATCGCCTCGCTTCCCAACTTACACGTAATCACGTTTTGACGGAAAAGAGTTCAACTCTCTCGTTCCTTGCTTGAAAGGCAGCATCGCCATCGGTCGTTGAAAAAAGTGCGCGTGCATGCTTGAACTTAGCTCTTCGAAATCATAACTCTCCGATCTAACTTTCCCTCCATGATTTAGCTGTTCCCCTTAAAAATATATAAACTTGACAGCGCAGGCCAATGCTTACTGGTGTATAAAATGAAGACAGTTAAATATTGCTAGACAATAGGCCTAGAAATCTGACATTACTAAGGAATCAACTATGTAAAACATTGTTCAAATCAAGTTTATATATATCAGATACCTATACATTATTTTGACACCGATGTCTCATAAGGCATCTCAAGAAATTTCTTGTATATATATCCATCATTATTTACTCCTGTTGGGTAAAAAATATTGAATTATGCATGGATCTTCACCAAAGACCAAACTCAATGACAATGATCTCAAGAATTTGATTGCTAGCTACATGTTTTTTGTTTTAGCAAAATATTGCGTGAACAAGTTTGTACCAAGGAGGTCGAACAAGGTCAACCAACTAAAAAAATATTGGAATGTTCCAAACATTACACATCATAGGAAGTTAAATCACTTGACTGTAGTCTAGTTGTGCATGTGACCGTTTCAAAAACGTCTTTGTCATTCTGCATGCATGTGACTGTTTCAAAACAGTCTTTCTCATCAAATATTTCCTCACTGATATTTTAACTCGACTTGGTTGTGATATACGATGTCTGAAGTGATAACAGGTTTGTTGAAGGTTACCTTCGGTTTAATATCGAACAAACTTCGTACTTATGGCGCTGAGAAACTCCAAGATGGAGGTCTCACCGATCAAATGTTTCGAGGTTTGATTGTTCGTGAACTGGACGACATCAAATCGAAACTTGATGCTATTTCGAGAAAAGATCTTTGTGCGAGCATTAGTTTTCTACAACTAGGCATCCAACGTCTAAACATGTCTTTTAGCGAGTCTTCTGAGAGTGGAAACACATCTACATCTGAATCACCAAGTGACAGAAAGCAATCACAAAGCACAACAAAAACTTGCGCTGGGGCAAGTTCAACCGACAAGAAGCAAGCTCAACAATCGGTGGCTGTAGAAGACATACTTGCGCTGGTCAATCCCGTTGGAAAACTGAAGATCGAGTCAAATAAGCGATTCGAATTTGCTAAAAAATCCTTTGAAGATGCTGGGAAAGAAGCAACACGAGCATTTCATAACGCAGCACTGAGTACGGAGGAGAGAATTTTGGGGAGTAAAGTACGCATCGCAAGCGGGATACTTCTACATTTGGAAGTCCCAGAATTCGCGGTGCGAGTGACTGTTTGCAGTACTTGCGAGAATTGCATGATATGCCAGCCATAAAGGAAATATTTTCAGTGCACGTGGGAACAGGAATAAAATCACGGCTCAAATCAGGTTTCAAGAAAGTCTCACGAGCAGAAATCGTGGAAACCCTAACGATGATCAATTTGATCTTGGCTGATTTTATCTCGAAGTTTGCAAAGCAAAGAATGGCTGTTTTTGATTGGCCAATGATAGAATGTGATAAGCGAGTTGTCCATCTAATTCATTTCAAAGACGAGAGTGCACCAAATATGAAAGATATAAAAATAACACCACCCTGGGACATTGTAGTAGCTGAAGAAAGCCATTATGCATCCACATTGGACAAAAAAGGAAATCTTGTTTGTTTCACAGATGACAAACATGGTCCTCAAAAACTCGACAAAGCGACAGGTAAGCTGCAGCCGTACTGCCTTTCTCCTTTGGAAGACAACACTGAACATCCTCAGCCCAGCGGTAAATTGATTGGTATAGCTATCGATGATAACGACACAGTGTACGTTCTGTCGTGGGACAACAAAGATGGATACACATTGTCAATCTATAGTCCAGATGAAAGAAATACACATCATTGTTGTTTAGAATTTCTTCAAGGGCTGTCGGGCTTTAAATTCATTACTGTCACCAATAACAAAAATATTGTCATTTGTTTCGAACATGCGGACAAAATTAAGGTATATTTATGTAACTGCGAAGGAAAACTGACAAACAGCTCTGAATTAGCTCATCCGATTGATCCTGACAATTATGCAATACAGTCAGTATCTGTTTCTTACGATAATGAAATAATACTCACAACGTGGCAGTGGACTGATGATTTGATAGTTTCAAATGTGCTTTACATCTACTCCGCAGACGGACAGTTAAAAACGACTGTCAAATTTCGTCCACATGCAAGTGAAGGTATGGATTTCTATAACAGTCTATTTTACAACCAAGACACCAAGAGCATCATCGATCACGTTAAGGACTTTCGTGATGACAAGATATTGATAAAATATTTGTCTGATCAAACTGCCAAACTTCAACTTTCATACGCATTGTGTTACCACCAGCTTAGGGCCATCCCAACTAACGACTGGGGCAACAATAATTAACATTAAACCAAGAAAAGTACCAAAACTTTATAAAGAAACATGAATATATTCCAAACCAAAACACACTAAAAACTATATTTTTGTCTCTCGAGCACACTTTCATCCGGGAATCTTCGGGGCTTTTCCCCGGGATCCCGGGACCCCGTACGCGTTCGTATTTCGCATAATAAATGAAATATGAATATTCAAATCAGTCTGAACATCCTCCCCCCGTGATCGTTGGTCATTAGGAGTACGATCACTCCTCGAGTGTTGCAATCTTTGTTGCGCTGGTCTCCTGAAGACTCCAAACTTCGTTTTCACATCAACACTGCGTACTATCTTGTCAGAACCTCGGTAGACTTCAATAATTCTTCCCAAAGGCCATGTGCCACGCGGAGTAGAATAATCCACCACAATAACCAGATCTCCAACTTTAAGATTCGGTACGTCGTGCGTCCACTTTGCCCTTTGAACAAGAGCAGGCAAATATTCTCTTAACCAACGTCCCCATAAGTGATTTGTGACCACTTGCGCTTGTCTCCAACGCTTACGACTCGATATCTCTTTATCAACGAATACACCAGGCGATAAGTTTATACTAGGACGTCCTAAAAGGAAATGATTTGGCGTAATCGCTTCCATTGCGTCAACATCAGAGCTAACTTCGGTCAGAGGGCGACTGTTTACTAATGATTCCACTTCTGCCATTGTAGTTGCCAGGACTTCATCGGTCAACACTTGTTTCTTTAACACTGCTTTGAATGTTGTCTTACACGAACGCACTAGTCTCTCCCATGCTCCTCCCATGTGTGGTGATGCTGGGAGATTGAACACCCATTTTATTCCCTTTTGACTAAGTTCGTTAGCGATTTGACTTTGATTCCAATTTTCAATACACTCCTTGAGCTCCCAATCGGCTCCCACGAAATTTGTCCCATTATCCGAATAGATGACTTGAGGACTACCTCTCCGTGCCACAAACCTTCGGAGACACATAATAAAAGAGTCAGTTTCGAGAGAGAATGCTACTTCCAAATGGACCGCTCGTGTCACGAGACAGGTAAAAAGACAAATGTACCTTTTTAAATGCTTTCTTCCATATTTCACCTGTAGCGGGCCAAAGTAATCAACGCCAACTTTCGTAAAGGGAGGACTCACCAACAGCCGGTCGCGTGGTAAATCAGCCATTCTCGGTGGACGTGGCACGGTACGGCGTAGTTTGCACAACCAACAACTATGAAGATTCTTCTTAACCGTGGCTTTACAGCGAAGGATCCAAAACTGCTGTCGAAGCTCGTTTCGAACATTGTCCACTCCCGCGTGTCCAAGCTTGTTGTGGGTATCCATGACAATTAGTTTGGTTAGATTACCACTAGAATCCAATACGATCGGATGCCGAGTAACAAAAGGTATAGCAGCCTTTCCAATGCGACCACCAACGCGTATTATGTCATCTTCGTCTAAGAAGGGTGTCAAAGATACTAATTTACTTTGCTTGTGCACAGGACGTCCACGTTTAAGCTCTCTAAATTCCGAAGTGAATGTTTTAATTTGCTCTTGGCGAATCAGAGTTTTCTTTGCTTTTTCGAGTTCTTCGACTAACGGACTACCAAACGTTCTTTCAGACACGGGTACTTTGCAGTTACGCAGAAATCGTTGTACATACACCATAACAGTCAACGCGCGAGAGTACGAAGAGTATCTGGCAAGGTTAACTAGTTCTTCTGGTTCACTCTGAGTCGTCACTTTTCCGGTAAACTGAACATCGCTTTCAGTAACAACATCTGGAATGTTATCGTTGACCACTCGGTTTGTAACGTCTTCCGGCCATTGTGACTCATCCTCAACCGACCTTTGGGTTTCCACGTCATACTTGCATCCAAATTCCTCAGTACGCCACCACAACTTTACTTGGTTGTGAAGCTCTTCATCAGGTGAACGAACATAAGTATGGAAGATACCCTCGGATGTCCGAATATAACCCGGAAGAGGTCCAGTTATCGTCCAACCAAGCTTTGTACGAATTCCAACTGGAGTTCCTCTAGGACCACATCGTGTCTCAATGGGTAAGATAATGTCTAGACAGTCACTACCAATAAGCAACGAAACATCACAACTACTCGCTTCCGGTATGTCTATTTCCTTTAGATGCGGCCATTTAGACTTTACATCCACCAAGTTCACCTTCTGCTGGGCAATATTCAAGTGCTCAACAACCAATGCTCCGTTCACATCAAAACGTGGTGTCACCATATTGACTGCACTTACTTGAGTATTAACTCGTCTCGAATTCAGTTCAGAAGTTCCCTGAATTCCATTCAATATAATTCGTTCCTCTGAACCTTCCAAACCAAGCTTTTCAGCAACACTAGATAAGACCAAACTGCATGTACTACCACTGTCCAGCATTGCATGGGTGTTCAAATATCCATTTGGACCATGTACAGTGACAGGTATAACCTGGAGTAAGACCGGCATACCCCTTTTGACCTGCGAACATTGTTTACTTTCAAACGTTGCTCCAATGTTCTCTTCTCTTTCAGGTGGTTTATTTCCAGAGCCAGGTTCCTTATTTTCCATTCTGTGTAAAAGACTGTGATGATATCCTTTGCATCCATTTATTTGACACTGCTTTCTTACAGGACATTTGTTTGACCAATGTTCCTTACTTAAACAGCAAAAACATAGTCGATGTTTCCTAACTTCCACAAGTCGGTCTTCGACAGATAAACTCTTGAACTTCGCACATTCACTAAGGCTATGTTTACTTCCATCTAACATTATGCATGATAATACAGTTTGATTTTCTCCTCTATTTGATGGGCCATACTGCTTTTGGTATTTGCTCTTGAAATTCTTCTTTGATGACCTTGCACACTCATCATAAATATCAGCTTGCCCTTTGAGCCAATCTGAAAACTGGCTCAAGTTTGGACGGTCTAGTTTGCCATCCTTGACATGTTCTTTCCATTTTAGTAGCAGTTCATTTGATAACTTGTATGTAGCCAACGACAGGTTTGCTTCCGCATTAAGATCACTCACATAACCAAATCTTGACAGCGTCCATACAGTAGTTGACACAACATCAGAGTAGCTTCGAACACTTTCTGGATCATTATCTTGTAAGCGATTGAAGGTTCTCAACTTACCAAGAGTGGCTTTGATGACTAATGATGGTTTACCAAATCTGGATTCCAGCTCAGACATTGCTTTGTTATATGAATCACCACTATAGCCATACCCCTCGATTGAAGTCTTAGCTTTACCCGTAACTGAGTTCTGTAAATGTTGCATTTTGGCATTTAGGGATATGTTTGCATCACCAACCATTGATTTAAACATAGAAGACCAATCAGGCCACTTAAGAGAGTCCCCATCAAAAGTGGTTAATTTTAATCTTGGCAGATTATTAGAGCTGGGTTGAACATATATACTTGGTACACTATTTCCACTAGGAAGTTTCTGACCAACTTGACTGTTTAATGTTCCCTTATGAGTAGTATTTTCAGGAACTTTCACTGGTGCTGATTTTTCTGTTATAATCTTCAGAGGACTTTGTTGATGTACTGTTGGAGGTTGTTCTTTATCATTTGTCTCATTTTCAAAGTCACGTAGTCTGTTTGACAAACTTTCTGGGTTGTCCTCTTCATTTTCCAGGATCTCTGCTTCCGCCCTTAGACGCATCCATTCATCCTTCGCTTGCTGGACCTTTCGTCTTTCTTCAGCCTCGAGTTTTGCTCTTTCAGCTATTTCTTTAGCCATAGCTACATTTTTTTCAAGTTCTAATTGTTTTTCCAACTCTTGTTTTCTTTTCTCTTCTTCTTCCATTAATTGTTTAGCTTTTAACTCTGCGGCAAAGGCTTTCGCACGAACTTCAGCTCCTTTTCCACTTGATTTTGAACTACATGTCATTACAGATTTTGAGCTAATTAAATTCGGTATTTGCGCACTTTCTTGCATGCCAGGAAATGTTCCTGCGACTGAGGATACTTCATGTAAGCGCCCCTCAAGATGACTTTCAGCCTCTAATTTGGCATCATTGACTCTTTCTAATTGTTCTTCATACCAAATTAAAACAGCTTCATGCTCACTTTCATGTACCAGAGTGAGAAGTTGAGTATTAAGTGCCTCAGCTTCTTTTAAATATTCAGATAAATTATTCACATACCCTTTTATTATTGTTTTGCTACCAAATTTCGCCACAAGTCCCTCCAATTTACGTAAAGTTGTAGTTATTCTCCTCTTAACTACCGATCTTTTACTTCGAATACGTGTTTCTTCCAACGAAACGCTACCAAATTCACTTTCAACCACACGATTTGCTTCAGAACCATGAACAGACATATTTATATCATACAAATAATTCCACTATACCAATTCAATCCGACGTAGAAGGACCATTTAATGTTACCACCAGCTTAGGGCCATCCCAACTAACGACTGGGGCAACAATAATTAACATTAAACCAAGAAAAGTACCAAAACTTTATAAAGAAACATGAATATATTCCAAACCAAAACACACTAAAAACTATATTTTTGTCTCTCGAGCACACTTTCATCAGGGAATCTTCGGGGCTTTTCCCCGGGATCCCGGGACCCCGTACGCGTTCGTATTTCGCATAATAAATGAAATATGAATATTCAAATCAGTCTGAACACATTGTATAATACAAACTTTCCAGGAGATATATTTAATTTTAATCTTGCCCACCATACAAATGGTGCACTTGCTTTGGTTAGTAAGAAGCATTTGATTTTGCTTCAAAAACCTTCTCCGTGAACTTTAACAAAATGTTTTGCCGTTTTTACCGTAAATCCTCTATTAAGCGCCTCCCCTCCCGTTGAGTGCGATACAGGGTTTATCGTATATTTAAATAATCAATCCATATGCTGTATAGTATACAGAAGAAAGTGACCTAGCTAGTTTGAATTCTATATACTTATCACGCTGTAAATTGAAAATAGTCAAAATGAAATTTCACCCCCGGAACGACTCTTTTGAGTTCATTTTGACTCTTGAAATTACAGTGTGCAGATTCAACAACATAACTATAATTGATGTGTTTAATTTAGGCTATAATTTAACATTATACATATTATGACTTTTAAGCTTGTGTTTTATAGTCTTTGAATTAGTATGGTATATACTTTGCATGTTAAAAAATGTTTCTGAAAAATGTAGACCATTGAAAATTTCCAATAACTCAAGCCAACCTGAGTGCAGGCTACAGCTTCAGCAAAACAGGAAACCCCCTCATCCAGGGTAGGTGAAGGTGTATGGTGTCCCATGTCCGCCAAAAATCAACTTTTGCATTTCACTATATGATATTTTGAGGATCATACTCATTTCATTAAAATAACAACATTGTTTTTGAAGATCACCGGTTTATCGGTTGAAAACACAACTTATTTTTTGAAGACCAACTTTTGAAGACCAACTTTTGAAGACCAACTTTTGAAGACCAACTTTTGATACCCAACCGCAATCCAATGTCTTTGTTGTTCGCGGGCTCATATTGTGATTTTCCGCTAAAATCATCTCTGTCTGAGTAACTAAACTTTTTATATATTCATTGTCTTATTTTCAGTGGCGGCGCCAGGCTTCCAAATTTGGGGGGGGCATTTGAGGGGCAAACTCAAATTTTGGGGGGGCAAGATAGAATTTTTAAAAAGGTCGCCCCTCCCAAGAAATTCGCCCCCCCCCCTCAAAACGTGGCGATATTCCTAGGAATATCGCCCCCGGGGGCGAATATCCTAGGAATATCGCCTCCCAGGGGGGTGGGGCGAATACCCTAGGAATATCGCTCCTCTTTAGGACATTCGCCCCCCATATATGCGATGTGGTTTATTCAAATAATTTCGTGATACTTTCATCTTATTATTGCCTTACACGTTTGAGAATTTAACTCTGCAAAACTAAAGCTTTTTGGTCTTTTTTTGAAACGTATTATTGGAGTATTGGCAAGTTTTACCATTCAGAGATTTACAAACTAATATTGAAACTGTAAAAAACAGTTTCATGTATACGCGCATTCACTAATGAGTAATGACAACTTATAAGCCATACATTTTTCGATAACGACAGAACGCTTGTGCAGCCTTTAGTCGCTCTTAGTGACTAATAATTTTTTTGGAGGGGGGCAAAATGGGGGGAGGAATAATTGGGGAGCATTTGCCCCCCCTTGCCCCACCCTGGCGCCGCCACTGATATATATATATATATATATATATATATATATATATATATATATATATATATATATATATATATATATATATATATATATATATATATATGCAATATCTATATATATATTTAAAAAACTCATTAATAATTCAGGAGGAAAACACAAAGAAAAATCATAAGCGTGTCGTGGTTTTATATGTGATATAAAATCATGTTAATTTACATAAACTTTAGCTTTGATTTTCTCGGTTTAGATAAAGTTTATTTTAAAAATTACTTTGCCAATGAACTCAACTCGTATAAGATGAATCGTTTTTGAAGCCATTTAAAGCACTTGTAGTCGTGTTTTATCACATATAAATCACTCCGCTACGCGTCGTGTTTTATATGTGATAAAACACTCCTACGCGTGCTTTAAATAGTACTTTATGACTTGGTGTTGGCGGCTCGTATAATATTTTACTTGTGATCAGGTTAGATTGCAGAATACCCCTCCATTTTCTAACATTACATGCAATTTTAGTTGCGATTTTCTCCTTTTGTAAGATGTGAAGGAGTAGATTACATAAACATTTATAACTTTAATATCCACTCCTTCACATCCTCCAAAAGGAGAACATATTTCGAGCAGTGGCAGCAGACATCAACTTTTAGAGGGGGGGAGGGGGCAGGGGGAAAGCTTGTGCAGGTTTTTAATGTCCTGTGTACCATTTGGACTCATAAACAGTCTAAACAGTGCCGTAGCAAGCTCGATAATTGGGGGAGGGGGCTGATATTCATATATTCATGTTCTGTGTTATTATTTCTTTAGAAATCAATTGTTTTTATGGTCTGTGAACACAAATATATGAATATCAGCCCCCCCCCTCCCCAATTATCGAGCTTGCTACGGCGCTGCTAAAACCTGACTGTGTGTAATATATTAGGATATATATGTTCTAGGACAATACATTATCCTGTTTTTCTCTGTTTACCAATGGGTCATTCCAGAAAACATCCATACCACCCTCACGGAGGAAATTAGAAGTTAACTCCCCTACCCCCTTCGGATATCCTATTGTCTGCATTGGTATTCCATTTGTTCCATATTGAAAAGAATGTTATATGCCTCTCCAACGTTTGCACATATCGAATAATCAAGATTCATATTTACTAGCAATTACCGTTGTAAAAAATCAAGTTTCAGCATAAGCTCTTATGTAGTCTACATTAGCGTCTCGAGACTGTGAAAAACGGTCGATGGAATTTATCACATCAAAAATCGCCTGTAGCAAGTATTATTTGTCTTCTTCCTCCATTTTGAAAACATAATAAATGAGCCCGCGAACAACAAAGACATTGGATTGCGGTTGGGTATCAAAAGTTGGTCTTCAAAAGTTGGTCTTCAAAAGTTGGTCTTCAAAAGTTGGTCTTCAAAAGTTGGTCTTCAAAAGTCGGTCTTCAAAAAATAAGTTGTGTTTTCAACCAATAAACCGGTGATCTTCAAAAACAATGTTGTTATTTTAATGAAATGAGTATGATCCTCAAAATATCATATAGTGAAATGCAAAAGTTGATTTTTGGCGGACATGGGACACCATAAAGGTGAGGTGTATTCGCGTATCAAAATAAAAAGTTCGTCGCAAGTCAACTTTTTGGCGTACTAAGGAAGTACTAACCAATCACATTAACGCATTGACGAAATTTTGAAATTTAAAAACGTTTTTGATACGTTTCGGTACCAGCCTCGTACCCAGGCGCTTTGGTTTGTTTACGTCATTAAGCGCACGTGGGACGGCCACGCGGCCCACGCAAAGGCCGCGCAAGCCATCGAACAACACATAGCCTGTGACATAGCGCCTGGCAATCTCGTTCCCCGAGCCTGCGATCCTTGGGAAGGAAACGAAGGCTCTGGGATAATCCGAATCAGACATACAGAAAACTGTATGTCGACCGAACTGCGCATGCGTTGGCAAAAGCAAAACAAATTGTTTGAAATATTTTATTGTTTCGTCTATAAAATGATGATTTTTTCGGGGTTTTGGTGGAAATGTTGATGTTCTTCATAGTGGGATACAAAAGATGTGTTAGCGACTGAATAAGGAAAATACTGCGTGTGAAACAGGGTCAGTATAGAGCCGGCAGGAGCCACGAAGAGTGCTGTTGTCGAAGAAAAATGTCACAATTAATTGAAATCTTGTCCATTCACCTCTGTGTCAGTTTGAAAAAGCTTTAAATGTAGAGACATTTGTGGTTCCTCCAGCATAATTTAGCCGTTTAACGCTATCATGTTTCTAATGGTTGAAAGAGCGCGTGGAAAGGGCAATTTTCAAGAACAAAAACAATTACAAATGTACTGTGTGTTAATTGCTACTGTAGTATTAAAATACCTGAAGAGTCTGAATTCTAATATTAAGTCGGTTATAAACCTTGATAATATTAAAGTTTTCAGAAGATTTGTATATCAGAGGAATATTAAAAGGAATTTAGACTTATGTTTATATCATTAAAAATATGAATATAGTGAATTCCATGTTTATATTGTGTATTTGTGTTAGAAATTAACAGTTTATAAACCAAATCCTTGTTATATTTTTTAACTGCCCTTATAGCTTTCCTTCTATGTTTTAATATTTGCCAGCAGTTTAGTAGGTTAGGGATGTAACAGCACTTTTCAAATTATTGAATTATAACCAAATTTTGTGTCTGGATAGGAATTACTATTAAAGATTTACAGTTTGTAATGATAGAATTGGAGCAAGTTAAGCTGCAATGTGCCTCGGTTTGCCCTACTTTGTTATTTTACGCTGTTTAACGCCAGAATATTTTCTCGTCAAGGGGAAAGTATTGGACTTGGTATTTGAATGGGTTAACCAGTCCATCTGCATGTCTACCTATCTTTGGTTAATTATCTCATTAGATCATTAAGCCACAATGTTCTTTAGTGCACCCTATTTTGTTATTTCACTGTACTTCTGGACAATATTTCTCATCAATGGCCAGAAATATACTTGACTTCATGTTGATTACTGCCATTAATTAATTAACTACTGTACTAAATAGGACATTCAAGGTTGGAGATGTAATAGCAATAGAGGTTGCTATCATTGTAGCATTCAGGGGCGTCACTAGCCCAAATTGTCAGGCATTTGGCAATTTATTGTATCGCAATCGGGAAATTGTTTTTGTGGCCAGCATGATTTGAATTGGATAGGAATGGAAAAAAACTGAAATATATGAGTTTTTGTTGCCCCTCCCCTTCTCAGAGTAGGTATGTGTTGTTTTATATAGTGTAAATAACAAGTTTTGACATTGCAATCAAACTGACAGGGTAGAGCCATGGTAATAAAAATATTTCTATGGCTCGACATTTATATTGGGCAATTTTTTATCATTCATCACAAAATTATACCTGCACCCTAGGTGGTCCCCTGCAGGGGGTCATAACCAGGGGGAAGCTGATGAAAATGAATTCTGGTATTGGTGGCTGATCATTATCATTTAATATTTTTGTGAATAGAACATTTCTTAAAAAAAGTATATGAATTCATTAAAAATATTTATATGGTCTCCCAATCTGGAATTCATACTTTGTAACATTTGGATCAAAAGGTTTATGACATTTTCTTGGACAGAATCCAATTAATACAACCTCGTACAGAGGGCAGGGCTTCTTTGAATTACTGTGTGGACAAGATTAACAAAGGGATTGCCAATTTGGCATATTGTACTACTCAATAAATTAAAATCATTAAATACTTTATGCTACAATTAGCTGTAATATTATACTGTATATTATTGTGTTTCATATGACATCATAAATTTGATGGGGGGTCAACTCTAAATCGAGACACAGTCATCAGAGTGAATTAATTTTTCACTGTATGTGTTGGCCTTGTGTTTGGTGGCAAATACATGCAATTTCATATCATTTGCTCACTACAGTACAGCATAAGCATCAATACATTTTAGGTTGACCCCCCGTCAGAATGTGCAAAATGCCATAGTGAAACCCAAGAATTCATTATATGTATTAGGTGTATGCAGACTGGAATACAAGTTAATATCACTGCCTGTGAAATTGTGGTTTATTTAGAGAATAAAGGTTTTTTGAACTCTTCTATAAATAAATTATAACAGCAAAAGATTCATATGCACCCATATAGGGAAGGGTTACATGCTACAAGTTAAAATGAGTATTACATGCTCCTGCACTTGAAAAGTTTACAGTACAGTATATACATTAAATAATAAAATATATAACAGTAAATCCCAAGATTGGATTTATTGAAACTAGTCATTAGCTAGTTGCCTAGTTCTTCGCAATTAAATAACACAAAGGCAAATTAATAAAAGTTATTAACCACTTCTGACACAAACAGTATTTGCAAAATATAGCACATATTTGATATTATAGTCAAATAGTACAGTGTACTGACAGAGTGTGAGAGTGACAGTACTGTATACTATGTATAGATTAAAACTACAGAAAACCTGTACAACACAAATATGAGTAAAGTTTTCACGCTCCATTTAACTGTTGTGATATTATACGCATTAAGTATACGTTTCTTTGCATTTCCTTTGTAGTATTAGTATATAGCACAGCTCTGAAACACCAAAACAATACTCGTACACTCCTAAACGGCCGCCATGTTGTATGTAAAAATATACGGTTAAAAATTAATTTTTGCAAAATTGCAACATTCCATTGTATACCAGCAACCAATCATATTCATTTCTGAGATGGATTATCCCAGAGCCTTCGTTTCCTTCCCAAGGATCGCAGGCTCGGGGAACGAGATTGAGCGCCTGGGTACGAGCACAGAATAGATATAGGGACGAGGCTGTTTCAGTACGGTGTGTAAACGACAAACGTGACTAATAAAATAATAAATATATCAAGTTTCAGAGAAACAATATACTGGCATAAACAAGTATGGTCAGAAACAGACCTCGTCTGTTCATTCTATTATGTTTCACAAATTTTATATTTAATATTGCTACCAGTGATATTGTACAGGAAGAATGTCCAGGAATGAATCGGGAGTGTGTGCTTAATTATTATGCTGATTTGTCACTTGCTAGACGTTACCCTGTCAAGGTAAATTAAACCGATACTAGTTGTTAATAATTCTAGATCTTTGAAAGATGATGAGTGATCAAAGGATTAAATGTGTACAGCAAACGGTTTAAGACTTCCATTTGGTTCATATGTATGCTAGAAATACGAAACTCCTGCTTACTATCAGCTTCCTGCTGAGACAAGTCATCAAAGCATTTATAATCAGTGATGTTTTCCAGGGGGAACGCCGTCCCCTCACCTTTTTTACCAGGGGACCGGCATCCCCCCTGCCAAAGTCAAACATGGGGGAACGGCGTTCCCCCTGGCAGGGATTAAATATGAGTGAAATTCAGTGAACGCTGTTCGACACCATCCAAATAATTTTGGCTATCACTTGTACAGTCAGTACAGACGTTGTACTACATACATGATATTTTTTACAATAATTGCTCCGCAGTCCTACGTAGAAATACTTCAGAATGTAATTTTGTCACTATTTTAATCTCCCTGGAACTTGATATACTTGCAGAAAATTCTAGCAGACTAGCTTGATATTACTACTTATTGTCACAAGTGTGGATAACATCAGGCAGCAGCCCAGCAGGATATAATTAGTCTAGTCTTTCGCGCAATCGCGAAATTAATTAAACATTAAAATGATCAATTGGAACATAAAATGATTCAATAAGAACATTAACATGATTAAATGGGAAAAATTCAAGGATATTTATTATCTAAGCTTATTTAGTTACTTGCGAAAATGTCATATTTAACTTGCAAAGTTGCCTGCTTGCCGAGTTGCCGCATACTCAGTGCTCACATAGCGCTAATTGCATCGTCAAAATTCGAAAAACAACGTAGTTTTATTTACTTTTTGGCATCTACCACGAGCAAGCTAGGTGTTTTTTAGGTATCTTGTTCTACTAAATCCACTTCAAAGATTAAGCTATTACGAGTATGTACTTGTTCGCTATGACCGTGCATGAGGCCACGCCCAATCGAGTGACCACGCCCATTTGATTTTCAAGAGCGTCCCCCCACTTCTAAAATTAGGAAAACATCGCTGTTTATAATATTTATGCATACCATAAATAGCGCAATTATATCATAGCCATAGGCTGTCACACTATATATCGATATCTTGATATTAAATTATCAGTATATTTTTAAAAATATGTACACTTTTAACACCTAACACGACTGCATTAATCATTATGTATTAAACCTAATGAGTGCCAGCACAACAGCGCTTTCCCCTTGCATCTGGCAGTAGAGCAGGGTGCAATGCAACTTAATGGGTTAACTAGATGCATTGGCAGACCAGATTGCATAGTACGTCCGTTTTCGCCAAGATCTCGAGGGCGGAAAGCTGAAAAGTCTCGGGGCAGGGGCACAAAAATGTCCCAGGGGCGGACTCAGGGCGGCCAGCCTCCCAAAGGGCAATCATTGCTGAAACAAGAAGAAATGGCTTAATTTGTTTCACATCTTCTTTGTTTTCTTCACAAGTCAACTCGGGTGCGACTGCGGCATAGTAAAATCACATCAACATCGAGTAACATCAAGTAATCAAAATCAGCATAAAATACACCGCTGACACTTACTGGATTGCAGAAGAGTAGAAGACACACTTCTTAATTTATGTGCAGACACGTGGGAAATAAATAATAAGCCCCCGACAATTTCTGACGTCTTTTGAATTTTTAGTTACGAACCTGCATGTATAATGTATTCGGGGAGACTCACTGCCGTCACACATAAATAGTTGTAAATAACTAGATAATTTACAGTATGAACACCAATATACCTTTACACAAGGGCGGATTTTCATTTATTTAAAAGGAGGGGTAGAAAAAATTCTGGTGGGGTGCAAGCGGCACCACTCAGTGAGCTTCAGCAGGGTTAGCCGTTTGGGTTAAAGCCTTTTGGGTTAAAGCCTTTCACACATAATAGGAGGGGTGAAGCAAAGTTTTGGTGGGGTTGAACACTTTATTAGAGGGGTTAGAGAGATTCTAGGAGGGGTTTAACATAATATTTCACGGCATGGTCTACTTTGCAGAACCTGTTGAAGATATAAGAAATCCATTAAATAAATAATGTTTATATGTAATTAGCCACAAACAAGAGATCCCAGATGCATGTAGAGGTCCTATTACCTATCCCAAAATTAAAATAAATCAGAAATAAATCATGTAAAATTAAACAAAAGTTAGAAAGTAACGAAATACTTAAAGGTGCTGTCAAGTCCATAATGTAAACAAACGCAGAAACGCTTTGTTTACATTTCGAACTGCTATATTTGTAAAATATGATATACTAACTGAATATATATTAAACACTGTTCTGGTTTAGTATGCTCGTAAATGAATATAAACCAGAGTTTCAATTCAGAAAAAGTTCAAAAGATGCGAAATTTGGGCAATGTTTACATCTGTGGGTCCCCCTTTGTTATGAGCAGAACCGATGTGCAGAACGGACTTGACAGCATCTTTAAAGAGACTTTGTTCCAAGTAAAAGTACTCCAGAAAAAGTTTACTTTGTTACATGCTCACTTCTCAAAAATAATACTCAAGTACAGTAAAGAAGTACATTTACTTTATACTTGACACCACTGAATTTAATGGATTTATTAAGAGGCCCTAGTTATGGTGGGGATTTATGTCATTTGTCTATAATTTTAGAAACAACTGATGTCACCACTTGCTAAACATTGCTGTATTGCTTTTAGAATTTTCATAATTGTTTTCTTTCTTTTCCATGTCGCTGACACAATTTTGATAAAATTTGTGTCCAATGTCACTATCTCATTTAAATATGTATATGTCGCCGTTTCAATTAGGCAGACCATGGCAATGTCAATCCCCTGTCTGAGTTTACCCTAACAGGACCTCATTAAAAGTTGAAAGTAAAAGAGGTTTCTTAGCTGAAACCCTTTTTGTTAAGTGTTAATTTTGAAATGTCAAGTATGTATAGGTAGGTAACCCCCCCCCCTCCCCCCCATCCAGCGTTCAAAGGGATGCCGCCAATGACGTCATGCCATCAATGACATCATAACCGGAAACACCCGCCCAATTATTAAGTATGCACGTTCAACTACTGACTCTTCCACATTCCGTCATCCGTACGCGCGGTCGCGATTAATTTGAGGATTTTGATCCAGAAGAAGCGTTAGAAGCAGCTGTTGATATGATTGATATGAGAAAGTTTCTTATAAAAAGGCTTTTAAAGGGTTACGATTTTGATGAAAAGACTGCTGATGATGAAGTTAATGATGATGATGATTAGACTCGATTAACAGGTCGAATATACGATTGAAGTCATGTATTCGAACAGTTCATATTAGCATGTAAAAACATACTAGTATAGACACAGCATGTAACATCGAGTCATTCAATAAATTGCTTTTTAATTACTTGTCTTTTCTTGTCATTTTTACATGGGTCGGCCGGGTACAAATCAAAATGGCAAAAATATGCGAATACGAAAATGTATACATTTGTGTACATAAACTTTGCAGTGGCTTCCACAAAAAAAAGTACACCCAGTCTGGCAGTCTTCGGGACATAGCGCCTAAACGGGCCTTATGAGCAGATGAGCATGTGCTCATGAGCAGTTATGAGCATGCGCTCATGCAGGAAGAGCGGATGAGCATGTGCTCATGAGCAGTTATGAGCATGTACTCATACGCTCATCGCACATAGATGGCACCCGACATGATCATTTGAAAATTGAACCAAATCTATACGTAATAGTTCGGGTTTAAACGGGCCTTAATACGATGCAAAATGCGAAGCACGATGCTAAATGCAGACGCATGAGCAAAATGCGAACTCAATGCGAAGGCGTTAATTGCTGCGTCCGGCCCTCAGTCACCTTGTGTGGTCAGTATACATGATAATTTTTACAGGTGTCACTTTAAACTTTATCTGTACCCTTTTTAAGAACACCGCTACCTCGAAAAATGTCATTTAAAAATACACCTTGCCAAATTTAATTAGAGATATACAAGGTGTCCCAAAAAACCCGAAAACTATTGAAATCACTTATTGTTAAAATGAATGAATGAATGAATGAATAGTTTGTTTAATAAAAACATCATCTGGCAGTCAGAAGACTGAATTACATGACGTTAAGTGTTACAAGGTTATAAATAGTAAAAAATTCTATATTACAATGCAATTTAAAAATTGTTAATATATACTATATATCATATACTTAAATGTACTAATCTATATGAGTTAAAAATTCTAAAATGTTCAAGGAACATCTGATTTGTAATGTTTCTTAGCATAAAAGTTGATAAAAGAGTTTCCGAAACGATTTGTACTTGCTGGTAAAACTTCAAAAGATCTTTCTTTTCGTAATTCTCTATTGCCTGCTTTGGATGGTAAAAGTTTGGCAAGTTTATGATCATCATTTAAAACAATGTCGTTGAAGAGATTATTGGATAGATACTCCCGTCTGTTTTCAAGAGTGGAAATACCAGCGATGTTAAGAGCCTCGTCGTAAGACAATTCATAGAATATTATTTTCATTGCTCGCTTCTGTATACGTTCAATGTTTTTTGCAAGATTTCGTGGCAGGGAACTATGGAATAATTGGCACGCATATTCGAGGACAGACCTTATACAGCTGCAAAAAAATTTGACCAAATCTGCCGAAGCGACATCAGCACGTTTGAGTTGCCTCAACAAATATAAACGTTTAGCTGCTTTGGATTGAATTTACATGGTCTATCCATTTAAGGTCATTTCTTAATATAACTCCAAGCGATTTGATACTTGTCACTCTTTCCAAATTTCGGTCACCAATACGTATAGGTTCAAAAACAGGTGGTAATCGTGAAAAGGATATTACCATTTCTTTGCATTTAAATGGGTTTAGTTGAAAGGAATTGTCCATAGACCAAGTAGTAATATCATCGATATCCATTTGTAAAGTACTTTGTTCGTTTTTTTCAACAATTTCAGAGACCGTAGTATCGTCGGCAAATTTCCACATTTCTGAAAGGTGATTATGTAACACAAGGTCATTTATCATGGCTAAGAATAGCCAAGGCCCAAGTCGTGTGGCTTGAGGGACACCAGCTGGAACTTGGAGCCAGTCTGAGAAACAATTATCACTTAGTTTGACCCTTTGCCATCTATCACGTAAAAAGTCAATAATCCAGTTAACCACACAGGGCTTAATACCAAGGCTGAATAATTTCGCAACTAATGTGGTGTGATCTACCATGTCAAATGCTTTTTTATAGTCAAGAAATACAGTGCGAACAGATGAACCACTTTCATCTGTTGCACTCAACCAACATTGGAGCATCGATATCAAGGCAAGTACAGTGGAAGAATTTGGAATAAAGCCAAATTGTTGGGGGATCAACAACCTTTAACAGAGTTGGTTTTACTTCTCTTTCGATTACAAGACGTTCCGCTATCTTTGATAGAGTGGAAGTTAAGGAAATAGGTCGTAATTCCCTTTCCAAGTCTTTGACAGTAGATGTTTTTGGTAAGGGGACCACATCGGCCAGCTTCCAAATTTGCGGGACTTTACAGCTTTGAAAGGAAGAATTGATTATATTTGCAACTGGTGAGGCGAGAATATCCGAATAGGTTTTTAAAACCCAATTGGAAATACCGTCAGGGCCACTGGAACATTAATTTCTTGCAATTTTCTAGCTATAGTTGACTCGGTCACAATAATAGGCGTTTCATCGTTGTGTACAATTACAGCCGTATCTTCAGATAATGGAACATAGTTCTGTATCACATTTATAAAAACATTGTTAATTTTATTACTGAGGTTTATGTCTGTCTCCTGCCATAAATCTTGATGGAGGCGGTCTTTTACACTTTTGTTGTTTAGTTTAGATGTGCCACACAACTGCTTCACTTCCCGCCACCAATCTCGGGGGTTAGTGTTACGTAAATTATGAACTTTAGATTGATAATAGCTCTTACGACAACGTTTTCGTTCACGATTAACTTTATTACGTAACATTTTAAAAAGAGTGACATTACCAGATGCAAAGGCTTTTTGTCGACGATTTATCAGTGATTTCAGATTGCTATTAACCCATGGTCGATCATTAGGGTGGACTTTTATTGAACGTTCAGGCATAATTAAGTTCAAACCATAGTTTATAATGCTAGTTAAAAAGTATAGTTTTTGATCATTTGAGGGTATGGACGATAAAATGTCCCATGGAATTTCCTGGAGAAATCGACCAAGACTTCTAATATTACTGGGTCGCTTGTCTCTTGTTTTAACAATACGCGATTGTGGTTCGTGTGATCTTTTCCTCGTTCCAGGACACATGGCAATTGTTAGATGGTCTGATAAGCCAAATGGAGGAGCACTAGTAGGAGGTGAATAGTATTCAAATAGATTGGTATAAATTTGGTCAAGAATATTGGCACCTCTGGTGGGAAAATCAATTACTGGTTTTAGTTGAAAAGGTTTAACAGTAGCCTGTAAGTCCAATTTGTTGAAATCACCAGCAATAATGATTGCAGGGTTAGGAATTGAAGATTCAATATATTCTAATGAAGATTGGACATAGTCACGCATACTTGTACAATCGGCATCTGGAGGGTGGTACACAACAGCTATTATCATATTTGAGTAATTTCGTGGGAGTCGTTCTGGTTGTAAAGCTAGCCACAATACTTCGTGATTATCACTATCTAACTCCGTTAGGCGGTTGCAAGAAATGGTATTGTTAATATAAAAACAAACCCCACCATGGGATTTGTGTTGACGGTCACGCCTGAATAATTGGTAATTTGTAATATTAATAGCTTCATCTAGAACGGATTCTTTTAACCATGTTTCGCTGAAAAAGGCAATATCTATATGATTCGAAGTAAGAAATACAGCAATTTCATCGATTTTCGGGGCTAGCGACATAGTGTTTGACAATAATATAGCAGGTACAAAATGCGACGAACAAGACACGGTTTTACTATTAACTTCGGGGTTCACAGATACATGAATTAATGTAATGCCCTAC